GTTTCGGAGGCGAAAATTCATAATAGCCACCGAACCACCGTATGGCTCACACGGATAGTTCCCTCATGACAAATAGGATTTGTGAGAACTGATGGAACGTAATTCGGAATCGTAGGTCGGGAGTTAGAGCCAAATACGTCTTAAACTTAGTCGAAAATGGGCGTTTCGAAGGCGAAAATTCAAAACAGCCTCGAATACGCCTTACACTTAGTCGAAAAACTTGCAACACTTAGTTAAAAAAGCAGCAACTTTTTTAAAATAACATCTACACATTCTAATAATTGCCTTTATATATTTATAGGACGAAGAAATTGCATATTACATTGTTTGTACAGTTGGTTGGAATAAATATTGCATGATACATATATATATATATACTTTTCTTTTATTTCCAAGAAGACATTTCTCGATTGTTCTACCTTAAATGCATGTTAGAACATGCTTCATATGGTTGACTGAATTGATATTTTGTAACTAATTTTAATGTTTCGTTTTTTGTTTTTATTTGTAGATGGCTTTGTTGCGTGGACTTATGGATAATCCATATTGGTGTATGGAGAAGAATTTTCACTTTTGTGTAGAACTAATATAATATTTTTGTCGTCCTCAGCTTTTGTGTAGTTCATTATTACTGATACAGAAAACTTTTGACAATCAACAGATAATGACTGTCGTGGTACATAAATCACCTTCTGTCGTGGTACATATATACCGTTTGTCAACGTACATGTAGGATGTTTTGTCATGGTCCATAGAAAACTTTTGTCGTGGTACATATATCACCTTTTGTTGTGGTACATATTACGATGGTAATTTGTACCATGCCAAATGGTAATTTCGCTTGGTAGTAAATGTATTTTTCTGTATATGGAGGACTTTAATTTTTGTATGATATATTTTGTATAGAATTATTATTTTAGTTTGGACAATAGTTGATTTGTATGGACTTTCATATTTATTGTTATTTATTTTTGGTATATGGATGCAGATTGTGGAATGATTGATAGTATGTATCATTTTATTTTTTACGTATTATAGGTTGCATTGTATATAGACAGGTTGTGGAGAAATTATAATTTCGCGATAAAACATAATATCATGTTTTTGGCAACTAAACAATTAGTAGCTAAAAAGAAATTGGGAAAAGACATTTGGCGACTAACAGTTTTGTAGCAAAAAAAAAAAAAAAAAAAACATTTAGAAATTTTTTAAAAAAAAAAAAAAAAAGACATTTAGCGATTAGAAGTTTAGTAGCCAAAAAAAAAAAAAAAGGACATTTGGCAATTAAAACTTTTGTAGCCAAAAGAAAATCAAACATTTAGCGATTAAAATATCTTGTAGTTAAAAACAAAAAATTAAATTATAAACACACTTTTGCCGACTAAAATTTTAGTAGCTAAAAATGTAAAACTTTAGGTGACCAAATATTTAGTAGCCAAAAGAGGAATTCTTTGCCGACTAAACATTTAGTAGCCAAAGATGGGGGACTTTCAGTGACTAATTTTTTAGTAGCCAAAAAAGAACTCTTTGTCGACTATAATTTTAGTAGCTAAAAAGGTGGGACTTTAGGCGATTAAAAGTTTGGTCGTCGAAAAGGGTCTAATTTAATTTAATGTTCAACCTTTTGGCAACTAAATATTTAGTCGGCAAATGAATACATTTGGCAACTAAAATTAACTAAAATAATTTTAGTCGCCAATTACTTTTTCGACTACTCTTTGGTTATTAATTTTGCGACCAAAAAATTTAGTCGCTAAAGCCTTTCGGCGACTAAAAATTGACTTTTGGCGACTAAAAATTTAGTTGCCAAAAGTGAATTCTTGTAGTGGTAATAAACAACTTAAATACTTGGTTGCAAACTTGTGACGATGGATTTAAATAGGTAAATCATAAAAGCATACCTACCCTAGAAACTTGTAAACAATTCCTTGCAATTCTGTTGAGTTCAAGCTTTAGTAATTGAATACTTACACATACATACAGTACGCACACAGCAATTATACATACATACTTGTACATCTAGTTTTTCAAAAAAATTTCAAAACATGTCCAACCTTGGCTGCTATTCCAATAGATCCATCATTTAGTTTGAAGGTCCATCAAAAAAGATAATATGGCAATCATCTGCTTGATTTTCAACTATTAACAGAAAAGAAAAAACAAAATGCATCTTGTGTCTCATACAAGCTATGGGAAGCAATGTGTTTCTTAAGCAAACCAAGTACAAAAGCAAAAAGAAAGAAATTCAACATAAAAAAACAATACAGAATGTAGACTAATGCTATTGAATATTCAAACATTTCAACCAAAAAGGGAGAGCAAGATAAAAGGACGAAGCAGGGCCTTTTGGGTTCACTTGAAATGCGATCAAAAACCATATGCCACGGTCTAGGTGTTGAAGTGAAAAAACAATAGCCCCCAGCAGCAAACCAATATACAACCAACAAGATCATGAAATCAATCATCACATCCCCCAGTCCCTACCTTGGTAGATCACAAGCCTCAAACCCCACGGCAGTGTGCCCATCACTCCATGTCAGGCGTGGCAATACAATCAATTAGGAAGGGTCACATGAAGACAAGATGCGACCAGAAAACCGGTAGCTATCCTCCCGCTCATCTCCCAGTCTCTAACTCGGCTGGTTATTGAACCACTATTCCCCATAGCAGTGACTCCCCAATCACTCTTGGCGGAGATAGCTCAAAACCATCCTCATATCGAGTCACATGAGGATCACACGATCAAATCACCAGTATGGTCAATATCTAATTAGTGATTATGTTGTTAACGCCATAAAAACCAATTATGCTTTGGAATGTGAGAAAATTGGAGGGGTGGTATACATTGTCGGTTTTCATTTTATACAATTCTTCCAACAATTAACTTCAATGGTTCTTCTTAAAGTTTAAATCTTGGATTCACATGCTAGGCTGCAAAAGCATACCAAAATTTGTTGTTATTGACCCACAAAAGGGTTTGAAAATTGTCAAAATTAACCCTAATAATTACAGAAATTATTACAGATATTTGACTAAAGTGATGAACTGAGCAAACTCATTATTAGCCAAACCAGTTCTTGAAAGAATGTGGTTTGGAACGATTTCGCTAAGTTGGCCCAGCAGGGATAACACCTGATTCTATACTATAGACCTTTCTACACAGACAAATATCTCAAATATACATAGGCACATTCATAAGAATTATAATTATTAACAGTTGATATAACTAGATGATTGCTTATTAACTAACTCTGTGAACACAATAAAACCAAATAATTAAAAAGCAATTAGTCAAGGAACAACAAGAAGAAAACGAGAAAGAGAGAGAGAGTACATCACAAGCTCTGAAAGCGATACGTTGATTCTACTTGAAGAATAAAATCTTAGAGAAGCCTATAACTGAGGTTGTTTGTTCCTTCTCTCAAACAAGGAGAGAAGGAGAGAGGGAGAGAGGTTTGGGGGATTCATAAAGAAAGGACAGGGAGACGGTTAAAAATTTGAAGTGACCATGAATTGGTGGTCTACTGCTACAATTGGAAGACTATGTTACTCTTGTAACAGCTCTGGTAGATTGCTAATCAAGCAAACCACAGACCATGAAAGCTTGTTAATATAAAAAAATAAAATAAAATCATGATTGGCCTCCAAGTTTACATGTATTTGATTATAGACCATAGTAGTTAATTAAGTTCAAACCATGGCCAAGTCAACACAAAACAATTTATCAAACTAAAATTCATGCCTATATATACACATGCATAACACATCTCCAATTACCATCTCTACCAACCTGACAGCCTTTCTTTTATGGCCATGTTTGAATTTGAGTTGTGACAATTGCTTTCTTTTAATGATTTTTTTTATTAAAAAAAAGTTAGAGGCTAAGCAAGATTAGTTTGATTAAAACTTCGCCACTTGAACAAATAAAATAATTAGAGGCCCAAGGCTAATTAGTTTCTAGAACGAAAAGGAGAGAAGGATGGAGAAGCGTCGAGAAATTAGAGAGAAACCTTTTTCTTGAGAGCTAGAAGAGACAGTTAAAGAAAAGAAACAGAAAGAGGAAGAAAATCAATGGGAATTCAAATTCATCCTTTTGGATTTGAGAATTGAACACTTAGGTGACTTGGAAAACCTTAAATGACGTGCTTAAGTCAAACTAATATCGATAATTACTCAGTAAATTCTCTATTTTAGAGGCTAAGCAAGATTAATTTGACTTAAACTTGGCCACTTAAGCTAATGAAACAATTAGTGGTCTAAACACAAACTCTTTCCTTTGAGCAAATAAGACTTAACTGGACAGATCAGCCCAAGAACTTCAACTCCGATTGCAAGCCAAAGTGAACCACGTTAACTAAGACCAGCAAAGATAGGGGTCTTGTACATCATGAGCACACGCCAGCTAAGAAACCATGAACTGTAATATGCACACAGCACATGGCAACCCAGATTGTACAAAATCCATGTCCTGCAATTTGCACACAGTAACACTGTGTAGCTATCGGGATAGTAGCATGACAGATGCAACAGCTCTCTTTTATCCAAATTCAAGTCCAGCCACACCATTAAAACAAAAAGAAAATAAAACCAAACCAAGAACCTCCTATACAACCCGTAGGAGTAAGCAAATTTACCATCAACTAGAAAAGTTAATCTAACTTGTATATGCAAATAGAAATTAAGACGACTGAAACACACTCGCATATAACTTGACAAGGCGCTGGCAGCAGCCATCCCCAAGATATACGTCCAAACATTTTGATGCCTTCTGGAAGGGTGCAAGATGCAGCCACCACCATTCCACCATACCATGATTAGATATACCTGCCCAATATAGAGTTGGTAAGTATCGGAACTGTATAACCAATCATAGACAAGCAGAAAAAGTATACACTCAAATTTAGACCTCCCATCACTCAACCCACATATTAAGAAAACTCTCCACTCATTGTAGTGTCTCACTTCACTCGGCCCTCTACTTACAACCTCACACAGAATTCTCATAGAGAATGAGTGGTAGCTTCCTTAACCTGCATAAAAAATGTATAATATATAATGATGACAAGAACTTCATGTATGTGCAATCTCACATCCCTCAACCCACATATGGTATGCAAAATATCTGGGCTCACATCACTCAAACCACCACAAGACCTGTCCAAATTTGCTAATTGATAGAAAACCATCATTGAATTGAGACAATTAGTGCAGATGCCAACCTGTAAAAGAACACACTAATTAAGTAAACATTCACTTTCTGCTAACTATCACTCAACCCTCAATATGGTGATCTCACATCCCTCAGATTCCTTCCATGGCTGAACCATCTCCATGATCTTAGATGGTAAGTTCCATTGCCTCAGAAACTAGTTATCACCTGCAGAATTAGTTACATTTTCCATAGAAAGAAGTCTACCTCTAACCATTTGGATAATAGAGTTAGTAACAATCTCTTCGGGCTTTGACACCTTACTAAAGATCCTACTATTTCTCTCCATCCAAATATGGTACACAGTGTAGAGGAAGGACAATTTCATGATTATAGATTGCAATGTTTTGCCTTTGGTGGACTTAGTAGCATACTCAATAGTCTCCAACCAAGACATATTAGGCCAACTAGTATTACACTTAGTCTGGACAGCAACCCAGATCCTAGTAGAATAAGAACACCTAAAAAAGAGATGGGTGTGGTTCTCCTCAGGAGCTAGACAGAAATAGCAACTAGAATTAGGAACAAGGCCAAACATTTGCAATCTATCCCCAGTATTGAGTCTCTCTTGAATGGCCATCTAAACAACAAAACTAACTCTAGGAATTAATGGAGATCCCCAGATCATCTTGGACCAAGAGACTTTGGGACCCTTATCCCTCCAGTAGTCCCAAGTAGACTGAATAGAGAACACACCATCAGCATTTAAGCTCCAGAGAGGAGTATCCAAAGAGTTGGAAGGATAGAGGGCAGGAGGTGTAGATGAAATCCACTCCCTTATCTCCCAAGAACTAGGGATAGGCCACTTCCAAGATCCATCAAAAATAATGGAACTAACTTTAGAATTATCAGGAAGGTTAGTGTCATACAAAATTCTTTGCCCATACCTCTGCCAAAGCGAGCCAAGAGGGTGCCAGTTATCAAACCAAAGAAACACATTCTCCCCATTACCAATTTTGAATTTAATAAGAGGGAAAATAAGATTCCTAAGAGATAGTAGTTTCCTCCAGACCCAGGAAGGATCAGAAGGCATTTTAGCACCCCATAAACTCTTACCTTTGAGCAAATAAGACTTAACCCATTGGCACCACATAGAACACTCCCCCCCAGAAAACAAAAACCAGATATGTTTGGCTATAGCAGCCTTATTCCAGATCTCCATATCCTTAAAACCAAGACCCCCTTCATTCTTCTATTTACGTATATTCTTCCAAGCAATCTTCGCACTATGTTTCTTTAACTCAGTCCCAGACCATAAAAAGGATCTAAGAAGACTTTCAATGTCACGAATAACCCTCTTAGGAAGAATAAAAAGTGAGGACCAATAAACTTGCATAGAAAAGAGAATAGTCTGGATGAGTTGAGCTCTACCAGCATAAGATAGGAGTTTATTAGTCCAACTTTTAATCCTACTAGTTATCCTGTCAATAAGAATTTGGCAGTCAGAGGCCTTAAGCTTAGTTGTGATCAAAGGCACACCAAGGTACTTCATAGGGAGAGATCTCTCAGTAAAATTGGCAATATGAAGAATGGCCTCTTTAAGCTCCAAATTACACCCTGAGAAGTAAATGTTACTCTTACTAGGGCTAGGAGTGAGGCCCGAAAAACTCCTAAACTCCTCCAAACCTTGCATAATAAGGTTAACAGTATGAGGATCCCCTTTACTAAAGATCATCAGATCGTCAGCAAAGCACAGGTTAACGATTTTAGTTTTCTCACATCTCCAATGAAACTTGAACAAAGGGCTACTAGCCTTTTCAACCAGAATTCTGGCTAAGATCTCCATAGCCATCACAAAAAGGTAAAGGGACATAGGATCCCCTTGTCTAAGCCCTCTAGTCCCTTTAAAGTACCCATGGAGGCTACCATTAATACAGATAGAGAAAGAGGGACTAGTCATGCAAGCCTTTATCCAAGAAATCATGCAAGGAGGGAAGGCCATAGCAGTGAGAATATCAAGAATAAACTCCCACCTCACATTGTCATAAGCTTTCATAATGTCAACTTTCATAGCACACTTAGGAGTTTTAGAATTCCTATGATAGCCTCTCATAATCTCTTGGGATAAGAAAATATTGTCAGAGATTCTCCTACCTTGGACAAAGGCAGATCGCACAGGGTCTATAAGATCAGGGAGCACCATCTTCACACGGTTAGCTATGATCTTAGCAATGCATTTATAAATGGTGTTACAACAGGAGATGGGTCTGTAATCACCAACTTTCATGGGATTTGGAATTTTAGGAATAAGGGCTATAATGGTATTATTGATTTTTGTAAGGAGCTTACCAGAGTCAAAAAACGATTTTATAGCTAGGGTAACCTCCTTATCAACAATATCCCACGAACTTTTAAAGAACCCCACAGAATAACCATCAGGACCAGGAGCTTTATTAGCCTTAAGAGACCAAAAAACCTCCTTGATTTCAGCATCAGATACAGGTCTAGCAAGATTGGCCGATTGGGATGTAGAAACTTTAGTTTTCACTAAAGATTGTATCCTCTCCAAACCATTATACTGGTCCTTGAACGAGGAGCCAAACAAGTTAGTATAGAATTGAACAAAAGTGTCATGAATGACAACACTTTCGGCGGATCCCCAAGACCTAACCATTGAACTCTAGATTTTGAAGAGCAAGACACTTTTCCACTTTGCTAAGGTCAAGGTATTTTTTAAATTCCTTTCTCTCTTGAATTTGAAGCTCCAAATTCCCTAGATCCCTATCCAACTTGAATTGGACGAGATCCAAACTAGCCTTGAAAGCTTGGACACGAATAGAGATATCACTAAAATCCTTTTTGTTCAAGATTTTGAGACTAGCCTTGAGCTGCCTCAGCTTCTGACACACCTTAAACATAGGGACACCTTGTATATATTGATCCCAAGTGTTAGACACAGTTTTGAGGAATTCAGGATGTTGGGACCAGAAATCAAAGTATTTGAAAGGTTTTTTAAAAGAACTCTAAGTAACACTGATATTGACCACAACAAGGGAATGGTCAGATATACCAGATGGTAGAAAGGATGCAGTTGACTCAAGAAATTTATCAATCTAGGACTCATTAACAAGGACTCTATCAATTTTAGTGGCTATATAGGCCCCATCACCCCTTTTATTGGCCCACGTGAATTGACAGCCCCCATAAGATAAATCGGCCAACTCAGAAGCATTAACATAGGTGTTAAATTCCTCTTGGTCACTAGTCCAACCCAAAGATCCCCCAACTTTTTCTTGCGGATATCTAATGGCATTAAAGTCACCTAAAAAGATGCAAGGAAATTTGGATTTAGTGTGGGAGATATGATACATGGTTTCAAAAATATTCTTCCTCAAAATGTGCTTATTTTCAGCATAAACAAAAGTAGCATAAAACTCCTCATTAGCAACCAAATCAAAGATTTTACAAAAAATAGGCTGATTGGACATAAAAATCAATTGGACATTACAAAATTCATTGTTCCAGCACACCCAAACCCTACCAGTTTCAGTTGGTTGTGAATTCGACAAAATAGACCAATTGCCAAAACACTGAGCAAAAATTTTACTCTCATTAATCAGTTTTATTTTGGTCTCCAAAACACCAATGACATGAATATTTTCTTTTAAAACCAAGTTTTTAATTTCCTTATGTTTAGAAGGATCATTCAATCCTCTAACATTCCAAGCAGCAAGTTTAACAGTCATTGGGAAACAAAAGAGAAATAGACCACAACCAACTAAAACTAGCAGTTACCTTTTCTTTTTCCTCTGGCTACTGCTTCCTTTGCCAGAGGATTGCTCTTTGTTGACGGGGTAGCCTGATGAGGAGACACTTCATGTTTGGATTTCTCTTTTTTGGTGGAAATGTCACTAGTCACTACCTCTAGAAGCTCTGCAGCCTGAGGAATTACCAGTTTAGTAATCTCCAGAACACTTTCATGGAACCTATTCACTCCACTGCTATCAGAACTCTGCTCTTCCGCAGATGAACTAGTATCAATCAATGACGCTTGAATCTCCACAGGTTGGGCTGTTGTTGGTATTAGAAGTGGTTCTGTTACTTCCACAACTCTAGGAAGGGCCGAATTTGGTAATGCCTCTGGAACTTCCATATCTTCTGGAATAACCTCTAGTTCAGGTTCCCCCACCTTTCTTTTTCCCTTTGCTTGGATGGTTGTCCATCCCTCTTCATGATCGGGTACATTTTCCTCTGTTGTTTTTTGAAGAGAGACTAGCTGAGCAACTTGCTTTGATACACACTTATCAGTGGTATGCCCAAAAATCTGACAATGTTGGCAAGCAGATGGCAGACCCTGATATTCTACTCTAATTAACACAGCTTCATCCTCACATCTTATCTGGAAATAGGTTGGCAGCTTAGAAGTTACCTTAATTTCAACACAAACCCTTGCAAAGGCACCCTACTGCCTCTAGCCGTGAGCTGGTCTGTGAAAAGGGGGGTCCCTATTGCACTCGCAATGCGACTTAGGCCATCTGGATCCCAATACTCCAGCGGGATATTAAAGAATTTCACCCAGACTGGGATTTTTGTAGATTTTTCCTTGGCTAACTTCATCATTCTTTTCCATTGTTTCAGAATGAGAAGATACCCTCCAATGTACCACGGGCCTCCTTCGAGGACTTCTCTGCAGCTATCAGGAGAATCAAAAATGAAGAACATGAAGCCATCTCCATTTGTAAGAACTTCCTTCAGACCTGTATTTTTCCACATCCCAAAAGCACTATTCCGTAGGTAATTATAACCTACACCCTTATCAACGAAATAACCCACAAGACATGAATCCCACTTCTCCAAGGGATCCAATCTTGTCGGCATCTCTACCACAATACTGTCATCCACAGTAGTTGGAGGGACATACCTAAGCTTGATGTTGGATCGAGCCGTAACATTTGCCCACGATCTCTGTTGATTTAGCCGTATTCCTGTGTTGTCACTAGGTCTACTCCCTCCAGCACCTCCACGACCTCCTCTCTCCCCACGATAACTACCTCCACCCCCACCTCGTCCTCCATGAGGGAAGGGGTTAGGACCAACGAACGATTCCTGAACTATAGTGCTGGTACCAAGATCTGGATCACTTTGATCATATCGATTCTTGTTTTCTCCTCTGTTTCGCGCGACATCAAGGCTATCTGGGAGATTCAGAAATCTGGGCCTTGTTTGGTTTGTGTTTCTTAAAAAATTTTGGGAAAAATTCTCTACAAATAAGTTTTCAAAAGTAGTCAAACCAAACAAATTTTTCCAAATTTTTTTTCCAAAACTTGTTTGGTTTACAAGTTTTCCAAACAAATCCCTCTCTCATACACATCAAATCAATCACTTTTTCCAAAACTCTCTCTCAAAATAATTTTTCAAAACATCTTTTGAAAAAAAACCAAACCAAACAAATTTTCGTACTTTTTATCTCAAAACATGTTTCTCAAATACAAACCAAACAAGCCCCTGTTGTTCTCATCCTCAATGACATCGGACCATCTAGGGTTAATAGTCTGTCCAACCGGGGTCGATGGCTCTTGACTACTATCAGCAACAACAATTGGACCCAAGTTCTTGGTATAATCATCCCTAGGAGCAAGAGATAATATATTTCCCCCAAAATCAGAAATTGGAACACTCTCACCCATAGATCGGTTCTCTTGAACCCTAACTGAAATTTCCCGTTCACGATCTCCTAACCTTAGAGGTTGATTTATCCGTGATTCCAAAGGTCGATCTACATCTTGGACTACATCTTCACTCTGAATGGCTAGATTGATTTCAGACGGCTCCATCAGACTTTCACTCAAGACTACAAAGCTATTCTTGACAAACCCTAACTTATCACTTGTCGATAGTAAACCTAACTTACCCTCGTCATCACCTGAGACCAACTCATTAACTCCAGGCATCGTATTCAATGAGAATTCGAAACCCTAGAACCAAAAGATTCTAGAGAGATGCGGGAGCTTCTCACACTAACCCATTCAGTAAACCTCCTAAGCAAAGATGGTTTGGTAATGCAATATTCATTACCTCTAGCTTCTCACCCCAATCTTTTGGCTGTTATCAATAAACAGTGGAGTCATTAAAAAAAAACCTTAAATATATCATCCTCCAATTGCATAGACCAGTTTTATGTTAGAATAAAATCTTTGTGATTGTGATTCTACTTAGCTGTCA